TGTTTTTCTTCTTTCTGCAAGTTACTCTCATTAATCCTTGTACGCATAACATTTCTCTTTGAATGTTTAAGTTTTATGTCATTTATAAATCTCTTGTCACAAACTGTCTTTTTTTTTTTTTTTTGGTTTTTCTCCGGTACTGGGAACCGAACTCACGACCTTGCGCTTGCCAGGCAGGCGCTTTTGCCGCTGAGCTAAATCCCCAGCCCCCTATTCCTAGTTTCTATCTTTCTAAATGTCAACTTTTAAAAAGTTTGCTAAATACTAAACTTTTTTACCCAGTTATGTGTTTTGGCTCTGTTTTACCCAACTATAAGTTTTGATTTGGGACACAACTTAGAAACAGCAAAGTTAATTTATATTATAGGATTGTAGTGACCAGAGACCTTGGTTATCATTGTGACCTCATATTCTTTGATCACTTCATCTCTTTGTTTGAGCACATATTATAAAAGTGTGAATTGGTTGTTGGAAACATTTTGACTTTTACCTGTTCCCATCATTAAAGTACTTGGAGAACAATGCTCAACAAGCAGAGTAGGCAAGGATGCGTAGAGCTTGAATAAACATTTTAGAAAGACACAAAAAGGGAGATTGCAAAAATATTATTAAATTAGATGTAAGTGATTATTTTGTTTCATTGATGACTTTTCTTACTACAAAGTCAGTATCTTCTTAGGACCATCCCCAAAATAAAATAAACAAACACAAGAAGAAAATGAACATATACCAGTAATCCTACTCTTACATTGACACATTTCTACCAGCTTGAACCACTTGTGGTATATGTATGACCGGTGGTGTAAACAGATTTAATCACTTTTATTGGTCTTTTTACTAATAAAAGTACTAAAAAGCTGTCTGATGGAACAGTCATGCATGTACCACTGGTGGTTCAACCCAGCAGCAAGACATATGAATTGGGCCCTACCATGAGTGTGTTAATAATTTGGTATATGTGTCTGTGCTGCCATATCCCTTGCTGTGCATGTATGCACTAAAACATACAGTGATGCCTCAGATCACAAATGCTCCTGTTTGCAAAAAATTTGGTTCTCAAACAAAAGCATTCAACAGACTTTTGCTTTCATTCACAAACTCTATGTTGGATGACAAACACAACTGCAGCCATCTTTCCTACACAAACACAAATGTGACCATCTTCCCCCAAATCATAATCAAATTAAGTTTATCAACAAAGGTACCACTGTGTATGCATATATATTTTAAAAATCAAAATATTTACTATTTTAAGTATCAAAATACAGTATATATATAGTATATATATGCAAACATCCTTATATATTTTTATGATTAAAAGCATATATATTTAAAATCAGTATAATCATATTTTTGTAATTAAAATCATACAAGATATGGCTTTCCCACTTTGCTGTATTATTCTGATAGGATAAGTTCTTGTTACTGTCAGTTTAGAGGTTGACCTTGCCTGACCTAATACCTGCTTTTACTGTTTTTCCTAACCTTTTACTTCATTAGTCTCTATTCTTGATGTTTTCATCTGTTTCTGAAAGTTTAAAGAATTCCTTTTCATTTTGGGATATATAGCAGAGTGTCCAGAAACCTTCAGAAGTCTTGTTGTCTTGTATCTGATGCACCATAATGTTTTACAAAAGGACATTCTTGTGGTATAGACCATATTTCTTGCTTGTAGTAGAAGGACTCTCAGCTTTGATGCTATAGTTTTGGCTTCTCAGCCTCCATGAGTATGTACAGTGTCTCAGATGCTTCAGCATCTCCCCTACATAGGTCATAACACTTACCAGTACTTTGAATCTCCACATAGATTGAATAACAGTAACCATATTGAATACTCACGTAATACATCAAAGTTTACAAACTTTCTTCCTGCCTCCGTCCCTTCCTTCCCTCCTTCCCTCCCTCCCCTCTTCCTTTCTTTTCTCTCTCTCCTCTTTCCTCCCCCATCTCTTTCTCATTTCAGTGCTGAGAATCAAACCCAGAGCCTCTTATATGATTACATCCATATAACAGTGTCTTCTTCACAGGATTATTACCCTCTTCAAGTTGAAACTACAGAGGTATTCATACATCAGGGTGTACTTGAGCTGCGCCTTCTGATTTCCTGTGCCTTGGTCATTCCATTAAATCATGTTGCTCTTTGTATGAGTGAAGGTTAGGATGGGTGACTCAGTCTTGCTTTCCACACATTATAACTTCTGTTTATTTATGTATTTGAGTTCTCAGTGGTCTTCAGTCTCCTGTTGACTGGAACTCCCATACAGAACAGCCTCCAAGAACTCTACTCTCTCCTCAGTTTTGTGGAGCCTGATCTCTTTTGCAAGGAGCAGGTAGAAGATTTTGTTCAGCGTTATCAGGATATTGAGAAAGAATCTAAATCAGGCAAGTTCCTTTTCTACAAATCTTCTCCAAGAGGTCTTGGCACAGAAACTTCGCTGGTGCATAGCAGTTAGAGATAGAAAAGAGAGAGAGCTGATAACCAAAGACACCCTCTGGGAAGAGAAGAGCCACAGATATAAGGAAGGTCTTGGGTCCTTCATGTTGTCTGTTATTGTGTGCTATCCATGAAAGAATTACTCAGTAATTACTACATGATTCTACACCACAGCTGATTTGGTTTATTTTTGAAAGAAATAGAAAATTACTGCTGGTTTGTACACCCCTCCACTTGTAATATCTATAAAACTTCGTTAATTTTCCTTGCTGCTTCCCAAGGTATATAAGAAAGTGGGTGCTATAATCCCAACCTGCTATTCCACATTCTGCATTACTAATGTTTCTTTTGAGCACTGCACTAAAACCAGAAGTATGAGATGGATGGTAAATGAAGGAGAAGGATAGAAACCTTACCATCCATGTAGCTAGCAGCTTTCTTTTTTTTTCTTTTTCTTTTTGGCCATGCTAGGGATTGAACCCAGGGCCTTCTGCATGCAAGGCCAGCACTCTACCACTGAGCCACATCCTCAGCCCTCTTTAGTACCTTTTCCCCTCTGCCTTGTTGAATTACGTGAATATCCCTATGATATTATCTTAGGATGATTATTCTAAACAAATGGCATGCATATGAACTGGTGATTATGTGTGTGTTGGATAAGTATAATTTGGAAGGTTGTTTCACAACAAAAATCCCCTTACCATACAGTAAGGATTGCCTAAGGAATCTGCTCTTAGTACTCCCATGTTTAGAGTTGCCAGGTAAAGTTGCCATATATTCCAAAACTACTCATTGTTTATCTGAAATTCAAATTTAACTAGTTACCTGTACTTTTATTTTTTGTATGTGGCATTCCAACATATAGTATAGGTTTAATCAGATTAGTTTTTGAAGTTCAGGATACTTGGTAAAAGAACAGGGTATTTGAAGTCAAAAGAACCAAATTGATTGCTGGCAACATTTACATTCCACTTGGGTAATGTTGCTTAATTTCCTCGAGCCTCACTGAGCTCTGTTATTAAAACAGTGACATATTACTTGCTTGCTCTGCATTTCTAATCTGTTAAGCCACTAATAAGTTTAATGCAGAAACACCCTAGAAATAAAACAGGTTAATGCAAATGAGATAATTAGTAAGAATAAATTCTGTGAGTGGTCTTGGTTCTTGGGGTAAGAGCCAGTAACAATGTCAGAGGGAGTTGGAAGGAACTAGAGAAGGAAGAAATACCAATGGTCTTCACCCTATGGTGGTTCGGTTTGTAATTCCCAGTCAGTAGAAGCTGTACTTTAAATTTTGAATTTTTATTGACACAAAATATTTGTACATACTTGTGAGGTACAATATGTTTTGATTTGCATATGTGTAGGGTGATGATCACCTCAGGTAATTATCATATTTATCACATAAACTTATCATTTCTTTTTAGTGAGTACATTCAAAATCCTGTAATTACTTTGAGATATATAATGCATTATTATATATTCTCAACATCATAAATCATTAGGGAAATTAAAAATAAAACTGTGATGGGTTACTACTTAATCCTAGTGAGAATGGCTATTACCAAAACGACAAAAAATAAATGCTGGAGAGGATATGGAGAAACAGAAGCTCCACTACATTCCTGGTGGAAATGTAAATTAGTACAATCATGTTCGTAGTAATGTGAATTAATACAGTCATAATAGAAAGCAGGATGGAGATGCCTCAAAAAACTAAAAATGTAACTCCCATATAATCCAGCAATCCCACCACTGAAATATATAAGAAGAAATGAAATCAGCATGTCAAAGAGACATCTGCATTCTCATGTTTATTGCACTACTTTTTACAATAGCCAGAAAAGGGTGCTAATCTAAATATCCATCAGCAAATGAATAAAGAAAATATGGTATGTATCGGCAAGAGGATACTAGTCAGCCATACAAAAGCATGAATTTTGATCTTTTCCCAGGCTAGATATGGGTAAAATACTCTGGATTTGCTGGGTGGCAATTGTGAGTCATAGGTCTCCAGTCAGCCAGGTGACCATGAGGGTAAATAACTGATAGTGTACAGTGTTCTGTGTTGCTGGCGTTGCTTGGATACAGGTACTCAATAAATTATATGAAACATTCAGTACTTTTTAGTAAAATGCGCTTCGTGTTAAATTATTTTGCCCTACTATATATTAGTATAAGTGTTCCAAGTATGTTTTAAGCAGTGTAATCTATGATGTTAGGTGAATTAGGTATATTAAATGCATTTCAGCTTAGATTTTCAACTCTGATTGGTTTATAGAGACATAATCCATCCAGGAGCATCTGTACTATGAAAAATTTCTATATGACATAGGATGCAGAATTAGAGAAATAAAAATAGATTGCTGTATATTCTCTAGTAGTTGATGCCTTGGTCCTACTTTTGTCCTCACTCTTGGATTTCTTCTTCTTATACAGCAAGTGAACTGCACAGACTCTTGCAGCCATTTCTGTTGAGGCGAGTGAAAGCTGAAGTAGCTGCAGAGCTTCCCAAGAAGACTGAAGTAGTGATATACCATGGCATGTCAGCGTTGCAGAAAAAATACTATAAGGCTATTTTGATGAAAGACTTAGGTAATAGAGGGCACTTGTCCATTTAGAAAGTAAATGAGGATATGATTTTTCATGCAGAGAGGTATTTTATAATCATCCACATTTTGTATTCTGAATGACACTCAGGTCCGCTGCAGTGAGACCTAGTAGAGTCTGTTTCTTGTAACTTAGATAGGCGTTGCAGTAGTGAAAAATCTGTTTCCTCTCACTCAGTTTTCCTTATTGCCTGTAAATTAAAATACTTGCAAATATTCCCAACATGCTCTTTATCTTCCCACCCTGTCAAATGCTTAATAGATTGTAACTATTGAATCAGATTTACTGGGAGGGGTTGGGAGTGGGAGGGGAGAGACAGGAGTGGAATCATCTGATTTTCACTTTTATGGCTTGTTTTGTTTCAGTTTGTCCAATCCTTTGACTCCATAACAGTTAAAGAGGGAAATTTTACAAAAAGAATATCAAATTACTTCTCAGTTCAATTTATAGTTGAGATTTCCTTTTCAAAACAAAGCGATGGCTAAGAAAATTTCATATGATTGTGCTGTGAATTCTAAATGAAGTTCATTGCAGTTTGGGAAGTGAGTAGAGGTGTGAGGGATATTCTGTGAAGTAAGTTTATTCATGGAAATTTTTTTTTTTTTGGTTTGACAGTCCATTTTTCTTTTTCTTTAAAAAATTTCAGATGCATTTGAAAATGAGATGGCAAAGAATGTTAAACTTCAGAACATTTTGTCCCAGCTTCGAAAATGTGTGGATCACCCATATTTGTTTGATGGTGAGATAGTGCCCTCTTTTTCCACATTATTTTTCATTTATACTTCTGTGGGCAAAATCATAGCAAAATTCTTCAAAAGACTTACCTGTATTTACTGTATACTTTATTCTTATTCTCTGTATATTAATGTAATCCAATATGCGGTTCATAGTCAGATTTCTTCAAAGGCCACCCTAATGTTCTTAGGTCTTTTTCTTTTTTTAATCCAGAATAAGTCATAGAATTTGTCACATCTCTTTATTCCCCTGTAAGCTAGAAATATTCTTTAACTTGTTTTTTGTCTTTTATATCTTTTAGGATATTGACAGTTTTTAGAATATTGGCAGCTTTAGAGATCAAAGCTAATGGTTTTACAGAATAGGTCATAAGGTGGATTTACCTGAGCCTATCTTCATGATTATGTTTCCCCTCGTCTTGAACCCACTCATCACCACTATGCTAGCTCACTCATGACTCTGTGATGCTCAACCAGTAGTTCTCAGTTTCTGCTTCATTTCAGTTAACCTCTCAGAAGCCTTTGGCATAGTTGATCACTTCTTCCTGGAAACACTTCCTTCACTCAGGTGCCAGGATAGCACTTTCTCTTGACTTCTCTTCTGGTCCATATCCGTTCCTTCTCAATATCCTTTGCTGCTTCCCCTTCATCTTACCAACTTCTATAAATTTCCCTGTGAGTATTGGTTTAATTGTCTCCTACAAATTTGATGTCTAGTGTTTTCATTTTTGTTTTGTCAGGGGGCTTTTAGTACACTCTATTTAGTAGCCCAGGACCTCTGGCATGGAGGCCTTAGAATAGGATTAATGCAGAATGTTTACTTTGGCCCTTGAATGGTGTCTTTGTCAGGAGTGCTGTGAATTGTTTGAAAATAGCACAGAATCTTTTTTTTTGGTAGAGTAAACTAGCTTTGAACATTAAGCTTAGTTTATTTTTCTTTCTTTTTTATTAGTATATGTTTGCAATATATGATACACACATTAATGGTGTGGAATTGGTATGTATACCTATCACATCTTGATCTTTTTTACTTCTCCTTCCCCCTGTCCTGTCTCCCACCCATGCCCAGAGCCCCTTCTCATCTCCACATTGTCTGTCTTCCTGTTTCCTGTCATCTTTTATTTTGCTTTTTAATTATTAATATACTAGGTTGTTCATATAAGAGAAACTGCAGTTTAACCTTCTGTGTCTGATTTATTTCACTTAGTATTATGGTCTCAAAGTGAATCTATTTGCCTACAAATGACTCAAATTTATGCTTTTTATGGCTGAGTAGTACTCTAGGGTGTGTGTGTGTGTATGTGTGTGTGTGTGTGTGTGTATATATATATGTAATATATATAAAATACATATTTTTTACCCATTGGACAAAGAGGCTGCTTCTAAGATTTACCTATTGTGATTTGTGCTGCTATAATCATGAGTATGCATCTATTACTGTTATATGATGTCTTTAACTATTTGGGGACGATACCTGTAAGCAGTACAGCTTCATCAAATGGAATTTCTGTTTTTATTTTTTTGATGAATCTCCATACTGATTTCCATAGTGGTTGTATTAATTTGTATTCCCACCAATAATGTAGAGTTCTTTTTACCTCACAACTCTGCCAGCATTTGTTGTTTTTTTAAATTTCTTTTTTGTTTGTTTTACTTTGTTTTATTTTTTGAGACAAGTTGTTCTATGTAGTTCAGGTTGGCCTTGGACTCACTATGCTCGCCTCACACTCATGGCAGACCTCCTGCCTCAGCCTCCCAAGGGCTAAAATTACAGATGTGTGATTTCTTGATGATGCCCATTGTTTCTGGAATAAGATAGAATCTCAATGTTGTTTTGATTTGCATTTCTCTAATGATCAAAAATACTGAACATTTTTTCAAATATAGTAATTATTGGCCATTTGTACATCTACTTTTGAGAAGTATCTCTTTATTTCAACATCCCATTTTTTGATTAGGTCTTTTATTTTTGAGGGTCTTTTTTTTTTGAGTTCTTATGTATTCTATATTTTAGTCCCCTGAGGAATAGCTAGTAGAAAAACCTGAAGTTGTTTCTGCATCTTCTTCAGTCCTGTTGCATTGATTCACATGTCTTTTTGTGGCAGTAGCACGCTAATTTTTATTATTATAACTTTATCGTACAACTTGCCATCAAGGATCGTGATCCCTCCTGCTTTGCTCTTGTAGCCCAGGATTGCTTTTGTTATTCTGGATTTCTTCTGGTTCCATATAAAGTTCTGTGAAGATTGCTATAGGTATTTTGATTGGCATTGCATTAATTCTGTGTATGGCTGTTGGCAGTATGGCCATTTTGACAATCTTCATTCTGCCTATCAAAGAACAGAGGATATCTTTTCATTTTCTGCTGTCCTCTTAGATCTTTTCTTCAGAGTACTATAGTTTTTATTGTAGAGGTTTCTCACTTCCTTGGTTAGATTAATTCCTAGATATTTACATTTATTTTTAAGCCCATGTGAATTGGGTTTTTTAAAAATTTCTTTCATGATGGAATCATGCCACCTTGCTGAATTTATTAGTTTCAAGTGTCTTTTTGGTGAAAGGATCTTTTTGTCTTCTGTGTGAAGGATCATGTGATCCTTTTTATATGTATCCCTTTTATTTATTTCTCTAGCCTGATTGCTTAGCTCGTTTTGAGCCCTCTGTTGAACAGATGTGATAAGAGTGGACACCCTTATCTTGTTCCTGATTTTAGTGAGGATGCTGTCAGTTTTTTCCCATTTACTATAATGTTGGTAATGGATTTGTTATAAATGGCTTTATCAGTTTGAGATAAAGTCCCTCTAAACCTATTTTCAAGAAAGTGTTTTTTTTTTTTTTTATCATGAATAAATGTTGGGTTTTGTCAAATGCTTTTTCTTCCTCCACTGAAATGATCATGTGCTTTTTGTCTGTCCTTTCATTTATGTGATACATTTACTGATTTACATATGTTGAACCATACTTGCATTCCTAGGATGATATGTTGCATTGTGTTTGGCAATATCTTGTTGAGGATTTTTACCTCTGTGTTTATTAAGGATATTGGCCTGTAGTTTTCTTTTTTGTGTTAAATGGCTTCAGTGTTAGGGTAGTGCTGGTTTCCAGGAATGAGTTTGGCAGTACTTCTTTCCTTTTGATTTCCTGGAAGAGTTTGAGGAGTATTGGTGTTATATGTTTCCTGAAGTTTTAATAGAATTCTCTGGTGAACCCATGGGCCCTGGGTTGTCTTTTGTTGGTAGTTTTTATTGCTGCCTCTATTTCATTTCTTGTTATTAGTCTGTTGATAGTTGTAATATCTTCTTGTTTTAATTTTGGTAATTTATATATTTGCAGGAATTTTTTCATTTCTTTACTTCATTGGACTATAGTTTTTTGTGATAGTTTCTTATAATCCTCTGTATTTTGGTGGTGTCAGTTGTGATTTTTGCCTTTTTCATTTGTAATTGCACTGATATGGGGTTTTTTCTTTGCATTTTTGGGTAATTTGGCTGAAAGTTTATCGGTCTTATTCTTTCAGACAACCAACTCTGATTCTTGTATTTTTTTTACTATCAATTTCAATAATTTCCACTATGATCTTTATAATTTGTTTCCTTCTGTTAGTTTTGGGTTTGGATTGTTCATGTTTTTCTAGGACCTTGAGATATATCATTAGATTATTTATTTGGGATCTCTCTATTCTTTTAATGTGTGTATTCACAGCTATAACCTTCCCTCATAGAAGAGCTTTCATTTTGTCCCATATGTTTTGGTATGATTTTAGGAAATTTTTATTCCCAGATTTCTTCTGTAACCCACTGTTTATTCAACAATGACTTATTCAGTCTCCTGTGTTTGCATAGTTTCTGTCACTTCTTTTTCTGTTGATTTCTGTCTTCATTCTGCTATGATTCAATACTATAGAGAGGATTATTTTAATTCTTTTGTATTTATTTAAGCATGCTTTATAGCCCAAGATAATGGACTATTTTGGAAAAATTTTCATGTGCTGGTGAGAAAAATGTCTTTTGTTGTTGTGAAATAGTACACTGTAGATATCTGTTAAACCCATTTGTTCATGGTGTGGCTTCTCACCACAGAAGGTGGGACTTCTGTGTCCTTCACAACCCAAGCTTGTGGCTGCTTAAACTCCTCAGGGGTCTATGTCTAGCCTGCCCCTTCTCTGGGACTGGCTGTGGCTGTGTCACCCCCAGTCACTGCAGTAGTGTGACCCAGAGAGCCTGAAGTGTAGTTGTCTGTGACTTCTGATTCCTGGAATAGTAGTTCAGTCTTCAACTGTAAACACGTTCCCTAAATGGCCCTTGATCATATCTCTCCCAAATATGGCAGATGTTGCAGTGAATTTCTTTTCCAACTCTGACCTACCATGCAGAAGAATTTACTTTCAGAGTAACCCCACCTTCCACCATATTTGAGGCTTACAATAACCATGAACTTTCCTTGGATTTAGAGCTGCCAGTCTAGTCTGTTATTTATCCCTGGGTACCAGACCATCTCTGGATTTACCTAGTCTTTGGGAAAACAGGACTTCCTTCTCCCTGGAAGTTGAGGTTAGCATTCTAGGCTGCTTTATCCTTTTCTTGGCATTATCTTCAGTTTCTCTAGTTTCTCTGTGATTTCTACTTTGCTTATTCCCTCTTTTTAAATTACTGGAACTCTACATCTTTTTCTCTTAGTTAAGTTGTTTTCTAGGAGTCTCAGTTTCAGGTATGAGAGTCAGTGTTTTGTGGCTGGCTTTTACTGTACCATCTTTAATCCCTAAAGAACTGTACCATCTTTAATCCCTAAAAATTGCGCTGGATCTTTTCTTTTTCTTTTTTGAGACAGGGTCATGGTATGTAGTTCAGGCTGGCTTTGAACTGTGTACCCCAGGCCGGCCTTGAACTTGGGGTGATCTTCCTGCCTCAGCCTCCTGAGTTCTGGGATTACAGGTGTGTGCTACCATGCCTGGCTACATTGAATCTTAATTAGATGCACATTTGAAATTTTTTTCTTTTAAGGGAAATGGGGCATTAGGAACATGTAGATTTTGAAGTAAACCTGGCTGCCTAGGAATTACTAGTATATGCATCTAAGCCTGTGTCCTGGTTGCTTCTCCCTTTATGTTTGTGATAAATAATAAATACACCCATGGGGAAGTGGTACAAACATGTATCATATCTTCATTTTTTTATTTCTCCTTTCCTCCCTACTCTCCGTAGCCTCAGATCCCTTTCACATTCCACATAATCTATCTTCGACTTTCTAGAGATCCTGAAGATTTCAATTTTGGATCTTCTTGACTTTTAGCATTATCCTATGCCTCAGTTTCCTGAAGAGTGGGTTTGTTCCTTAGATAAATGTCTGTTAGGCCTTCGAGTATACTGAACTGTGTTATGGGTGTTAGGCAGCACTGAGACTATCATGCAAAGAAATAGTTATAAAATGCCAACACATGATGAGACTGGGCATATTCTGCATTAAAAGGAGCTTGGGCTCTCTTGCTGTAACCTAGGCACTGGCCTTTCTGATGGCGACTTCCTTGTTGGGGCATATTATTGTGAGTGGGTTCTTTCTCTCCCAGGTGTGGAGCCAGAACCTTTTGAAGTTGGAGATCATCTGATTGAAGCAAGTGGGAAGCTTCACCTACTGGATAAGCTCTTGGCATTCCTTCATTCTAGGTAGGTAATGTTACGGCAAGATCCTAATAACATGAGGAACTGGCAGCCCACCTTAATTCTTTGTGCCTTTTTATTTATTTATTTTTTTTGAGACAGGGTTTTGCTGTGTAGCCCAGGCTCACTCTGGTATCCCAGGCTGGCTTCAAATTCATTGCATTCTTTCTGCCTCAGCCTCCCAAGTGTTGGGATTACAGGCGTATACCCCCATGCATGGTTTGTGTCTTCAGTGAAGGAGTTCTGACAAGACATGTAGGTCATGGTATAGGTAGAGTTTATTGCAAGATGATAGATTTTCACCAAGAAAAAGAGAAATACACCTAAAGCATGAAAGTGGGTAAGCATCAAAATGGTAGCTGTCCTAAATAGGGTCTCAGGTTGCGTTTATATTGATTAATCTCCCAGGTGTGGAGCCAGAACCTTTTGAAGTTGGAGATCACCTGATTGATCTTTCAAAGAGTAGCCTTTCTTTCCTCTGAGGTCATTGTTCTTAAATAAAATGGCTTTGTTTAACCCACTTCAGGGAGGAGTAGTATAGATTCCTGTTTACTTGTTAGGTGGATGTCTCCATTTAATTTTTTTTTAACTTCGTATTTTTTATGAGTACATATTTGTCATATATATTGGTCACATTCATCATAGGGAATTTATCTTGAGTCTTCTTTTTTCTCCCATTCTCCTTCCCTCCCTTCAACCTTTTTTCCCTTCCCCATTTGCAAAAGGTTTTTTTCCTAATTTTTTCTTGCTATTCTTGTTTTGCCCTTTTCTCTTCCTCCCCCGCCTCCTTTGTTCCCCTTCCCATTTGAATATGTTTTTCTCTGCTTTCCAGTGTCTGTCCTCCATTATGCTCCTTATTTACCTTTTGGGTTTCTCATACAAGAGGAACAATGTGATATTTAAACTTGTGTGTCTGATTTCTTTCACTTAAGATTATGGTCTTGCGGTGCATTCATTTTATTTTTTTATATTTTACTGGCACATTTCAGATGTACATAATAATAGGATTCATCATATGGAATTTGTACCTGTACACGATATATCTTGATTTTTCTTTTTTTCCCCTTTCCCTCCCCTCCCTTTAACCCCTCTTCTCTTTATTTTATAAAAGCTTTGTTTTCTTTTTGTTGGTTTGTTTTTTTGACATATAGGGTCTTGTTATGTAGTTCAGGGTGGTGCTGAACTCACTATGTAGCCCAGGCTGGCCTTGAACTTGTAACAGTCCCGACTCAGCCTGCCAGGGGCTGGGATTACAGGTGTGTGCCCCCATGCCAGGCCTGTTTCCATTTTTCCTTATATTCTCTTTTCTTCCTTTTCCTTTCCTTCCTCTCCTCCTCCCCACTTCTTAGTTCCCCTTCTCATCTGAACATTTTCTTCCTGTTTCACAATATTTATTGTACATTTTGGTCCTTATTTATACTTTTGGTTTCTCACACTAGGGAAACCATGAAATATTTGGACATGTGTGTCTGATTTATTTCGCCTAAGAGTGTGGGGTCAAGGTGCATCTATTTAGCTAGAAATGTTTCAAATTTATCCTTTATGGCAGAGTAGTACTCCATTGTGAAAAAATCCACATCTTATCTATTCATTTATCAGTTGATGGGCATTTGGGCTGTTTCCAAGAGTTAGCTAGTACAAACTATGCTGCAAATAAATATGGGTGTGCATATATTGTTGTGGTATGATGCTTTTAATTCTTTCAAGAAGATACCTAGAAGGCGAGTAGCTGGGTCAAATGCAACATCTAATCCTGGTTTTTTGAGGAATCTTCACACTGATTTCCACAGTAGTTGCACCAGTCTATCTTCCCACCAACAGTGGAGAAATGTTTTCCTCCACAGCCAGCATTTGTTATTGGTTGATTTCTTGCTTATAGCCAATTATTGTGGAGTGAGATGGAATCTTAGTGTTGTTTTGATTTGCATCTTTTGAATGATCAGTGGTGTTGAACATTTTTTCATATATTTATTTGTCATTTGTACTTCTGCATCTGAAAAATGTCTATTCATTTTAGAATCCCATTTTTGGATTGGGTCTTTAAATTTGGGGGTGTCTGATTTTTTTAGTTCTTTATATATCCTAGATGTTAGTCCTTTTTCTGAGGCACAACTGGCAAAATTTTTTTTCCCACTTTATGGGTTGTCTCTTCACTCTGTTGGTGCTTTCTTTTGCTTTGCAAAAGCTGTTTATTTAATAAAATGAGATCCTAGTTGGTGATTCTTTGTGATATTTCCTATGTGATTAGGGATTTGTTCATAAAGTTTTTACCTACACCTATGTCTTTAAGAGTTCTGCCCTGTTGGGCGTAGTGGCGCATGCCTATAGTCCCAGCTCTTGAGAGGCTGAGGAAGGAGGAACGCTGACAGTTTGAGACCAGCCTGGGCTACAAAGTAAGTGCAAGGCCAGCCCGAACTGCATAGTGAGACCCTGTCTCAAAAAGACCAAAAAAAAAAAAAAAAAAAAAGACTTCTGCCTATTCTCTCTTCCAACAGATTTAGTGTTTCTGCTTTAATACTTAGCTCTTCGATCCATTTTGATCTTAGTTTAGTGCATGGCAATAGACATGGGTCTAGTTTTATTCTTTAGCATGTGGAAAGCCAGTTTTTCCAGCACCATTTATTAAAGAGGCTATCTTTCTTCCAGTGAAGGTATTTGGCACCTTTGTCAAAGATAAAGTGGCTGAGCATGTTTAGAGTTGTTTCTGTATTTTCTAATCTGTTTTCTTGATCCTGAGGTCTGTTTTTTACCAATACTGTGCTGTTTTTATCACTGTAGCTTTGTAGTATAATTTCAAGTCAGGGATTGTGATGCCCCCTGACTTGCCTTCGTTGCCCAGAATTGCTTTTGCTATTCTAGGCCTTGTCTGGTTCCAGATGAATTTTAGAATTCTCTAATTCTGTGAGGTATGCTACAGGTATTTTGATCAGAATTGCATTAAATCTTTATAATAGCTTTGGAAATATGACCATTTTCAATATATTGAGTCTACCTATCCAAAAACAGGAAAATCTTTCCATTTTTTGATATCTTCTTCAGTCTCCTTTTTCAGAGTACTGTGTTTTTCAATGTAAAAGTCTTTTACTTCCTTTATTAGGTTGAATCCTAAGTATTTCAATTTGGGGGGGGGATGCTATTATGAAAGGTGTTGTTTCCCTAAAATTTGTCTCTCAATGAGTTTGTTATTTGTGAACAGGAATGCTGTTGATTTTTGAGTGTTGATTTTGTATCCGGCCTCAAGACTGAATTTGGTTATTAAATCTAGAAGTCTTTTGGTGGAGTTTTGAAGTCTTCTGTATGGAGTACCATGTCATCTGCAAATAATGATAATTTCTTGCGTTCCTATCCATATTCATTTTATTTCTTTCTCTTGTCTATTGCTCTGGCTAATTTTTCCTGAGCTATATTAGAATGGTGATAGTGGACATCTTGTCTTATTCCTGACTTTAGAGTGAAAGCCTTCTTTTTTTTGCCCCTTTATTATGATGTTGGCTATTGGTTTGTCATAGATGGCTTTTATCAGATTGAAATAAAGACGACCTATTCCAATTTTCTGTAGGATTTAATCATGAAAAGGTGTTGGACTTTGTCAGATGCTTTTTCTGTGTCTGTTGAGATGATCATGTGATTTTTGTCCTTAGCTCTGTTGATATGGTGTATTACATTTATTGGTTTTCATATGTTGAACTATCCCTGCATCCCTGGGATGAATCCTTATTGGTCATAGTATATTCTTGATAATTTGTTGTGTTCTATTTGCTAGTATCTTATTGAGGATTTTTACATCTATATTGATAGAGGACATTGGCTTGTAGTTCTCTTTTTTGGCTGGGTGCTTCTCTGGTTCTCGTGTCAGGGTAATGCTTGCTTCCAGGAATGACTTGAGGAGTATTGCTTCCCTTTTCATTTCAATAAATAGTTTGAAGAATAGTAGCATTAGATTTTCTGTAAATTTCTTGTAGAATTCATTGGTGACTCTATCACAGCCTGAGCTTTTCTTTTTTGGTTGTTTTTTTCTTTTAATTACTTCTTGAATTTCATTGACTGATATTGGGTTATTTAGAATTTTTATATGTTCTTGATTTAGCTTTGGGGATTCATATATATCTGGAAATCCCTCATTTCTCTCTGTGTCTTCCATCTTATTGGATTATAGGTTCTCAAAGAGGGTATTCATGATCTTCTGGATTTATGCAAGGTCCATGTGATTTTACCCTTGTGAATTTTCCATTTGTTGATTCTTTTTTTGTGTAGTGATTTATTTGTACATTCCTAATTGCATTGATTTGGGTATTTTCTTCCTTTTCTCCTAAGTTTGGCTAAAGGTTCGTATATTTTTTTTCAACTTTTGAAGAACCTACTCTTTGATTTATTGATTCTTTGTGGTGTTTTCTTAATCTCCATTGCATTAATTTCTGCTCTGATCTTTATAATTTTCTCCATTGTACATGCTTTGGGTTTCACTTCCTCTTTTTCTAGAAGCTAGAGGTTCAATATTAGTTTATTTATTTGAACTCACTCTGCTGTTCTGACATGGTAATTAACTGCTGTAAATTTCCCTCATAAGACTGCTTTCTTTGTGTTCCATTATGCCAAACTGATGTTATTTAATTGTAGAAACTGTCTAATTTCTTCTTTAATTTCATCTGTGACCTATTGGTTGTTCAGGAGGGTGTTATTTAAGTTCCATGTGTTTATGTAGTTTTTGTGGTTTCTTTTGCAAATTAACTTCCAATTTCATTATACTGTGATCTGATAATATGCATGGGATGATTTGAATTTCTTTGCACTTATTTAACCATGTGCTATGAACCTGTATGTGGAGAAAGGCCTGTGTGCTGCTGAGAAGAATGTGTATTCTGTTGTGGTTGGATGCAACACTCTGTAGATATCTACTAAGTCCATTTGTACAAAGGTTTGGTTCAGCTCTGATATTTCTTTGTTGATTTTTTTTGTCTAGTGATCTGTTTGTGACAGTGGGGTATTGAGGTCCTCCATTACAGTTGTGTTAGTGCTTATCTGAGTTTTCATATTCATTAGTGTTTGTTTTATATAGTTACTTAAGTTACTTACATAGTTTTTTTTTGTTGTTGTTTGTTTGTTTTTTGTTTTTCTCCGGTACCGGGAACTGAACTCACGACCTTGCGCTTGCCAGGCAGGCGCTTTTGCTGCTGAGCTAAATCCCCAGCCCCTACTTACGTAGTTTTATGTTGTTACTTTATGTAGTTACTTTCGTAGTATGCTAGTATTTGGTCCAGGTATTTTTAGAATTATTATCTCTTTCTCTTGGATTGTTCCCTTAACAGGTATGCAGTGACATTCTTCGTCTCTTCTGATCTGTTTTGGCTTGAAATCTACCTTGTCTGCAAATAGAATAGCTATCTCCACCTTGTCAAGTTTCCTGTTCCATGGAGTGTTATTTTCAATCCTTTTACATTCAGTCTATGAATTTGAGTTGAGAAATCTGCTATGATTCTGATGGGTTTTCCTATATATTGGGGCTGGGGATTTAGCTCAGCGGCAAAAGCGCCTGCCTGGCAAGCGCAAGGTCGTGAGTTCTGTTCCCGGTACCGGAGAAAAACCGCCCCCCAAAAAACATTTGTGGCCTATATAGATGATTTGTTTCTGCTAACAGCTTTTAGTATTCTGTTCTTATGTTGAATTTCTGGAATCTTGACTATTATATACCTTGGTGTAGTTTTTTTTCTGATCAATACTATGTGGAGTTTACCTGCCTCACTTATGTGTATCTCCAATTCTTTTTCCATTCTTGGATAATTTTCTGTTATTACTTCTTTGAACAGCTTTTTTATGCCCTTTGTGCAATCTTCAGATTCTTCATTGATTCCTATTAATTTTATGTTATTCTCCTTTGCATTCTCTAGCAGCTATTGGATTAATTTTTTTGTGTTCTCTTGCTGTTTTTAAGAGGTCTTTCATTTGATGATCACCAAGCACAAGCCTGTCTTGTAGATCTGGTATTCTATGTTCACATTAGTTGAATCAGCTGAATATACTTTCAATAGAATTTTTAATCTCTTGGATTTCCATTCAAGTCTGTTTTATGGAATTTAGTTCTTTCTGTTTATTATTCATGGTTTCCATTTCTTTTCTATGTTCCTCTGTGGTTTTTTTTTTTATCTGTGTCTACTCTAGATTCACTAGTCATTTACTTGATTACCATTTACTTCATTTACCATTACTTGTGGTCATTATCTCTTTAGTTATCTCTGTTTTGTTTTTGTTAAGAGACTTACTGATCTGTTTTGTTACTTTGCCTGCTATCATTTTGGAAAATTCAGCTGAGTGGCTTTTAATTTCTCCTACCTCATTGCCCTCTTGTGTTTCCTTAGGTGAGTTGTGGATTATAGGTTGCATCTTGCCACCATGTTTTCTCATTTTCTTTTTCTTTCTTTCTTTTGTTCTTTTGTTTTCTGCACTGAGACTTCTAAATTGCTTATGGTGGGTAGATTTATTACTACTACCAAGAAAGACCTCTTTAGGAAATGTCTACTTTTCAGAGATATCTTCTGGGCATAGCTGGCTTTTGGCCTTTGAGTCTGTCCCAGGATCCTGCCTAGAGCTTTAATGTCATTCTTAATTTAATCCATGATTTTGCTTTCTTTCCTGTCCCCTCCCTACATATAATTTTTTTCATATCATGGGAAATGGGATGTCACCTCTAAAAGTAATGCTTCTCAGACTTTCAACCAATATACCCCTATATAGTAATTACTTATATTCCCAAGTGAGGAACTTCTGTAGTTAGCTGACCACACATGGATTTGAATTTTACTTTTTACTTTTCATGTATGAGTATTTAATTTGCTGTTAAAATGAAAGTTTGTATTTCTTTTCATTGAGTGGATTGATATTCCAGGAAGGGGTTGCTTATTTGTTTTCAGGCCTTGTGTACTCCCTGGTGCATTGACACATGCCTCTGGGAATATCTCCACTCTGGTTTAAGAACTGCCTCTTTGCAGGATACAACTGCATGTAGAGGTATATTCTTGTCTAAAGCATTCAGAATTTCTGAGAAAGTCTCTGTAAATTATGTGACATGTTATTTCTACTGTAGCATTTTTTATAAACTTGTATTCTTTGATAAGGTTTGCCTGAGGGAGACTTACCTTTAGATACTACTAGTGTTGGCAGTTTCTCCTTTTTGTTTTCTTCCCAGGGGCCATCGGGTTTTACTTTTCTCCCAAATGACCCAGATGTTGGATATTCTTCAAGACTATATGGATTACAGAGGTGACTCTCCTACATTACCTGAACCTTTTTTAGATTTAATCGTCAGATGAGTCCCTGAAGAGTAATATGAGGTGTGAAACTGTTACAGAGGAAAGCAGTACAACAACATTACTCAGAATCAAAAGAAAATTAAAAAGTAAAGATTGTGGAGAGTGCTGTGTAAAGTAGGGATTGACAGTGAGGTAGAGATGCATAAGCAGAAATAAATATCCACATTACTATCAGTTATGTGATTTAAAATTGTGGACATTGGTGCAAATGTTTCAGAAATGCTGTTTTTGAAAATGAATGATAAACAGTTTCAGTGACAGAAACTTTCATGTGTTGCAACACTGCTCAACATTTGAGAACTTATTCAGCATTAGTAAAAAAATGAATATTAAAATTATAGAAGTTCCACAAATCAATGAGGCAGAAAGTTAAGATTAGCTATTTCCATACAGGTTATAGGGATGTAGAGAATGTAGGACTCTGTTTAATATATAATAAAATTTATGTAGGATAAGGTGGAAAAGCTGTAACATTGGAAGAGCTTGAACCCAGTGGTAAAGTATGGCTCTAAATCTTACAATTTAAAAAATTGGCCCAAAGTAGATCTCTCAGATCCACTTGCTGGCCCCCAGGTACTACAGTGCACCTAGTCTAGCAGATACCTGCGGCAATGCCGTAGTGGCAGTTGAGGAAACCCCAAGGCGCAAACATGGCCTGCATTCATATCTCCCCTTTCTGGTATGGTACCTGGTGATAAGTGGGGAATGCTAGAGCTTCATTGAAAGAAAGTCACATGCTGGGCCTTTGAACAGCTCCCTCACTTGATCTCATGTGCTTGTCTTACTGTTTGCCTCAGTAAGAACTTGTCTTAGCAAGTGCAAACCGCCATAGAATATGAACATTCAAGGTTGCTGGGGAATAGTCAGAACTGAGTATTAACTCCATAAGTGCCAAAAGACTTCAACTGCATGTATTTAAAAAACACAGAGTAATACGTTATGGTGTGTTGTTTTATAAAATGACGAATTGTCTTCCTAAATTTAGATTTTTTCACATGAGACTTACGTACATAAGAGCATGCCTATATATGGACAGAGACAAAATTTGCATTTTTTTTTTTTTTGAGACAGGGTCTTGCTATATAGTTCAGGCTGACCTTGACCTCACTTGTGTAGCCCAGGCTGGCCTCAAGCTCACGGTAATTGTCCTGCCTCAGCCTTCTGAGTGCTGAAGTTACAGACCACCATGCCTGGCCTAGATCTGGTTTTGGACTGATTTTTTATTTCCCAGAGCCCTTGAAAAGATTTAAGATTTCTCTGTGTTTTGTTTTGTTTTGTTTTGTTTCTGTATATGTAAAGGCTACAGCTACGAGCGTGTGGATGGTTCTGTGAGAGGAGAAGAGAGACACTTGGCCATTAAGAACTTTGGACAGCAGCCCATTTTTATTTTTCTCCTGAGTACCAGAGCAGGTAGGCCATATAGGTATTGGGTAAAAGGTATAGAGTGGTTTCACATCCCAGCCATTAGTGCCGTTTCCTATGATGATGTAAAAGGTGAGTTATTACCGAGAAGTATAAAGAAGAAGGGACCTGAGGTCACTAACATGATTTATCAAGGTATTGAACTTCTAGCATGGTGCTCTTTTCTGTCCAACATATCCAAACTATGATCACATCAGACAATTGAGACTGAAACCTGGAATTGTTGGAAAGTACTTCTGATCTGCTTTACCCCATGATCCATGGAATGTCCAGAAAGATTTCTGTAATTTTGTGGAAAGTTTTGTTTACATTTAATGGAAGCAGCTCTTTCCCACAAATATGAAAATAAGGTAACCTCTTTGCTAGTTGCTCTTTCTCTAGAAGAACAATGTGACAAAAGCTTAACAACATCTAGTTGTTTAAAATGTGATTGTAATGCAACTACCAGCTATTCAAATTATTTGTGACCTTGTCTACATGCAATTTAAATAATAAATATTTAATATGATAAATATGTTGCTTTACCTGCTAAGAGTACCTTCTGTACTATAGCATGATTTGAAATCAGTTTGTGGAGGTGAACTTTTTCTTATATCCTGGATCAAGCAGACTTTAAATTAGTTTTAATCTCATAATCTTAGTTCCGTTACCTGATTTTTTGTAGACCTACATGGGGATGGAGTAGATGCCAGGACACAAAAGAGGCGTGTCCTCTACTAAAAAGACGTCAGTCATATTTAGAAAGAGTTTATTAAGTACTACAAAGCATATAAAAGAAATATTAGGTAAAATCCGTGGGATCTGTCTTAGCAGTGTGTGTCTTATGTCTGTGGTAAAGTAGACTGGAATCAGATGCATTTGACCTAACTCTCCCAATGCCGTGGGCTGCGCCCCACAGCCATTAATTCATGTGATTAGTTATGTCAGGGGTAATCTTAGGAAAAACTAGAAAGAACAGGTCCAGTTGTGCTTTAAAAATTTTCGTCATATTCAGAGAACAGCATTATGTTTGAAATATCTAAAATTAGAATAAAAGTGATCTCTACTTTTTAGTTAATCTTATTTTAGAACACCAAGTAGATAATTAGGAGCTAAAGTAGACCCAGACATTAGCCTTTTCTAAATGCTATCATGTTTGCAAACACATTTTTCTGGAGTTTTGAAGCATTTTCAATTTATTTAGCAGGTTTCCCTCCAGCTTTCAAATATTTCTGATTGAGTCATTTTGCCACCAGGTGGCAGTGATAGCTGGTGAATATGTTGCAGACAACTGAATGTAGCATATTTATAAAAATACCACTCTTAGTGAACAAGAGCTAGACTCGCACAATAGTAGATCAAGAAGATAATTTTTATGGAATACATTTTTAAATGAAATAGTGCCTAAGGGGTATTAGAGTAGTGTATAAAAAACACAGGGTCTAGAGCCGAGTGCTGTGGTACTCATCTGTAGTCCTAGCTACTTGGGAGGCTGAGGTAGGAGAGTTGCTTGAACGTGTAAGTTAAGGCGAGCCTGCAGCATAGCAAGACCCTCATCTCAAAAACAAATAAACAAAACCACAGATTCTGGAGCTAGATCATATAGAACTGAATCATGGCTCTTTTATCTTCTGGCTGCACAATTTCAAAAAGTCGTTTAATTTTTCTGTGTTTCCATTTTAACATCTAAAAATGGAGATAATAATAGAAAGGATTATAGTGTTCTGATGTGGGTAAAAAAAGTTGATATATTAAAGTGCTTACAATAATGCGTGGCAAATAGTAAACAGCATAAATGTAACTGTCATATGAGATATACAATATTTAGCATCTCTTGGTAATCAGTCATTATTATTTCTTTGTTCCAACATTAATTTTATATGAAGACTTTAATTAGACTGTTTCTGCCTGACTTGCCTTGAGATCCAGTTATGAGTCAGTAGTCCCTCTGAGATGTAGTCCTTCATTCCAGCTTTTAAAACAAACCCTTTCAGGCTTGCTTGTTTCAGCAGTGAGCTCCAGCGACCCTGGCAAGACTGAGTCTGTTTTGTACTAGTTTTCACATTAATCAAAGAGAAGGCTGTAATTTGTTTCATGATTCTCTTAATTCCTGAAACTCAAGATACCTGTTCAGCCCTTTTCTTGTAAGAAGAAAGATCAGAAAAGTGTTGCATGGAATGTTCTTGTCTTGAATTGGTTTTGTTGCCTTGCCTTTGATTAATGTGGTAGGAAGTACAGGAAGACTGGCTGAAGTTTTCTCCAATCAGAGGGAGGGAGTTTTCCACTCTGCTTAGGGTTGTATTATCCCTTCTTCTCATTAACCTGTCTTAAGGATCTTCTTAGTTGTAGCTTACAAGTGTGGCTAAGTGCTGTTCGCTTAGTAATGCCTACAGTAGCCCTCTCTCATATGTAGAGCTGTTTTCTGAAAGAACATGGGTCTTTTTTTACAGACTATTCTAAGCAAAATACAGTCAATATTTTTAAACAGAAGACAGTCATCATGGCGCTAAATTAAGCATCTTCTTTTGTCACATACCCCGCTCCCCTCATTTTTTGGTATTTGTTATTTTAAATTTTTCTTATTTGCAGTAGTAATGATTACATTTCTTGTAGAGAGTTAGTACATGTATATGACATATCTTAATTCCTCTTTTTCCTTTCTTTTCCCTTCCCTTCCCTCCCTCCTCATTCCACTATCTCTTGATCCCTCTCCTTCCTTTTTTTTGTACATGTTTGTAGTACATAGGGTTTATATTCCTCTTGGAAGTTGGGATATGTACACAGTGCATCCCAATTCTTTTTGTCATTCTCTCCCTTTACCCTCTCTCCATCTCTTTATTCCCCTTCCCTTTTGAGAAAGTTCTTCCTACTTCCTATTATCTATGTTTTATTTGCTCTTTATTTATACTCCGGTTTTCTCATATGAGAAAAGCCATGTGATATTTAAGCTTGTGTGTCTGATTTATTTCACTTCACATTATGGCCTCAAGGTGCATCCATTTCCCTATAAATGGCTCAAGTTTATCTTTATGGCAGAGTATTACACTATTGCTGTTGAAATTTATAATTAAATTTTCCCAAGTCAGACAATGTGAAGTCAAGTAGCTCTTTTGATCACTGTGAGGCTCTGGAATTGGGGATGGGCATGTCATTTTGAAGGATGAAGCCAGTTGATTTGACTGATTGGTTTTAATCAGCATGACGCAGTGTATATCTTTTTTTTCAAGTTCCTCATCTGTGTGCTGCTCACTACTCCTTTTTGCATTATTTCAGGTGGAGTTGGCATGAACTTGACAGCAGCAGATACTGTTATTTTTATTGACAGTGATTTTAATCCTCAGAATGACTTGCAGGCTGTTGCCAGGGCTCATCGAATTGGCCAGAACAAGTGAGTGAGTTAAGCATTGGTGCTTTTGTGCTTCCTTGACTTGTTTGGTTCTGTGCTGGGGAGGAAGGGGAACATTGTGGGACTGGTGACGGTGTCAGACTGGGAGTCAAAAGACTCCTGGATTTTAGCTCAGCTTTCCTGCTGACTCTTAGCATCATGGTGGGTGGGATCACATTATCAGTCCATACTAACTTTGTTGAAAAGAGCAAAGTTAAAGTTGTGAAAGGATTAGAAGGAACCTTTTTAAAAATTCATTTCTCAAATTAGGGACTAAGTTAAAAAATGAGGTTAAGGGATTGTGGATAGGCTAAAAGATAGTTGTTACCTTTTGTCCTGAGGTAATGTATGTGTGCCAGAGGTTTCCTTGGCCACAGTTAAGGAACCCCGTAGGTGGTCACCTCAGCTGGCAGTGGATATAGAGTGAAGAGGAGGGTTTTGAGCCACCTAGTATGGATTTATATCCAAGCGTCAGCACTCACTGGCTGTATGACTGTGAGCACATACTCTAACCTCATGGACCTACTCAGTTTTTGCTGTTCAAAAAATGAAGCTATCACTAGTTACCTTAGAATTTGATGCCAGATCTGTCTAACAAATGCTCAAGTCCAAATGAGGCATTCTTTTTAATTCTACCCTGAATATGGTATTTAGTTTTGCATCCTATTAAGTATATTTACTGGAATGCTTTCCCCCAGCTTATAGACTTTTATAGCATACTGCTCTTTTTTGATGTATGTACAGGTCTGTTAAAGTTATTCGGCTGATTGGCCGAGACACTGTGGAAGAAATAGTCTACAGGAAGGCAGCCTCCAAGCTGCAGCTCACCAGCATCATCATAGAAGGTGGCCACTTTACTCTAGGAGCCCAGAAGCCTTCAGGTGATGCTGACCTCCAGGTAGAGTATGCTGTTATTCTCTTTAGAATGGTCATGAATTACAGTTAGTGCCCTCTGTAGGTGAGTACATAAGTGAAAGACAGCAGCATTAACCACCCACCATCCTCAGCTATACATTTGTTTTCTGGCTAACTCATACCTGCCATAGTACCTAGTATGTGAAAATTGCCTTAGGAGGTGAAAATGAGTAAGAAATAAAGTGGTAGAATACAAAATGAGGAGGATGGGTGTTGAGCCATCAAACTTGGACTTGAATTGAAACCTCATCATTCATTGGCTGTGTGGCTCTGAGCAGACTTGGATCTACTCTCTTTTTGGTGTTTTAAAAATAAGGATGTCACTCTTGCTTCAGAGGGTTGTTAAGAGAATTAAGTTGAAAAAAAAAGAAAAAGAGAACTGAACATAATCAATAATGATTAAATCCTTACGTTCTTCTTAATCCCCAACCCTTTGATCAGTGATTTCCAAATCTCATTTCATACTCAGCGGGGGATGAATAAGATGAAGAACTCGAAATCATGCAATAGAAAAATAAATAAAAGATTTAATTTGCTTGAAGAAGGGAAAATTACATATGAGTCAAGTGCTAGTGTTAAAGATTCTAGAGAGAACTCCTTTTATTTTTTTGTACCAGAAATTGAACTCAGGACCTCGTGCTTGCTAGGCAGGTGCTGTGCCACTGAGCTATATCCCTGGCCCAAGAACACCCTTTTAGAAGAAACCTTATTAGACTTATTCTATACCACCCCTGGAGTTAAAATTAGAACCTGTATGTTATAATGTATCCCGGGTCCTTTTGAGGTGTTGGATACAAAGAGACCAACTCCAGGGATTCTAGGAAGACCCAGGCTTGAATTGAGATAAATGTCTGATAAGAGTAGTAGCAGAGGGAAAGTCTGGTGTGAGAAACTTTGCAGAGAAGAAATGACAGGAGTTGTCCTGAGGTGGGCAGCTAGGGAGATAGAAAATTCAAAGATAGCTGAAAGGCTTTAAACCTGCATGACAAGGAGAATAAAAGTTAGGAAGATAGATGATACGTCAGAGTTAGAGAGAGATGAAGATGGTGTAGACTTTAGTCAATGGGGTTTGTAGAAAAAACACAATATAAACATAAACTGTTGTTAAAGAAAGACAAGAGAAAAGATTTCATTTGGAAAAGTTTGCATGAAAAACCAGGCTTTAGAAGGAATAGCTTACTAAGAAATACAACAGGTAGGGGAAAAACTTATACAATATTGCAAGCAAAGTGACCAAGTTTATAGATAGTCCAAGCATGAATTTAAAAAGTAGCAGTCTCCTTACACCTATTTTCGTCTTTACATGTCAGTATTGCAGGCAGGGATCTCAACAGTTAAAAAAAAATTATTAGTATATGTTTGAAGTACATAGTGATCACATTCATCATGGAGGATTTGTACATGTACATAACACATCTTAATTCTATTTTTTGGTCTCCTTCCCCTTCTCTGCCTTCAACCCTTCTTCCATTCCCAATTTACAAAAGTTCTATTGCCATTATTTTCCTCTCAATTCTTTTTTGTTAGGGAGTCCAGAACTTACAGGAAAGGCTGAGGTTTCATTTATTTGGCCAGTAATACTAAAAGAATAACCCTGGGTCTCTGTCTGTTGGTTTTGTTTATCTTAGGGATGACTGTGCATGTCTTCCCCACTGCTGTTCTATGTTTTTTGTTGTTAACTCTAGTTTATGCATGCTCTGTAATGGTGGCAAAGCAGGCTGTGCACTTTGTTTTCATCCCATCGAAGTGTAAGATGAAAGCTTGAGAGAGAGACGGAGGGGAACACTTTAGAGACCCCTAAGTGTAGTTCCCCACAGGACCTGGAAGATGAGTTTATACTGAGTGTAGTGCAGGGGCTGATAGCCCCAAAGGCCCGCTTTCTTGGAGTTAGAAGATGACAGGTCTCCATATGGTGCTTGAACTCTTGTCTGTGAGGGAGCTTGGGGTTTAGTCTGGGGATTGCCTGTGTCATGGACTGCTGCCCTTCACTGTGAGGCTTGCAGATATAGTTCCCTGCCATTGGCGAATACTTGAGGGAGCATAGACTAGTGGCAGCTTGACAGGGCCTCTGTGAGTCTTCCTTCCTGGCACGGGGTTGTTGGAAAGTTGCATTCTGCTTCTACTGTCTGTATTCTCTTCCCCATCCAGACTGTGAGTTACTTGTAGTTGCTAAAAACGTAGGTGCTAATCCAGAGCCCTCATCTCAAAAGAAAGCAAGAGATTTTTTTTTAGTAAAAAGAATTTAATAGTAAATAAGAATGTAGTTTTGGCACGATAACTCTTAAGCCATAAGTAGTTGTAAAGTCATGAAATGGAAGCAGGTTCATCCTGCAAGAAGACTACAATAGAAACAGGAAGAGCGATGTAGATGTAAAATATTTATTGGATGATTACTGTGTGCTAATTACTATCTGACATGCTTCTTTCCAGTTGTCTCAGTGAATAAAAATAACAAAATGGGTAGGCACTGCCTTTATGCCCATCTTAACAAATTTACCCAAGGTCGTTCAGATTTAGGATGATTCTAAGCCTTCTGTAACCTCCATCAATATGCCCTTAATTTCTGCAACAGAGATAGTTCAGAGATAGTTCCTACCCAGTGGAGCCTTTCCTTTCTAAGAGGTCTGCAGTGGGAGTGTTAGGAAAGTAGCTACCAGGGTCTCTGGCTTCTCTTGTTGCTTCTGAGAATGTCTTTGAAAGGGAATTGATGAGTGCTACAGAAAATGCATGAAACCAATGTTACTCTTACCAAAAAAAAGGGAAGGCTTGCAAATTTTTTTTATTGCGGAGAATCGTCAAAGTCAACAGTTGTAATCATCATTTGTCACCTCTCTGCCCACCCATCATCCAACTGTGAAACATCCTGGCTGGAGTCATCTGTCACAGGAGGGAAGAAAGGCTGACTGTTCATGAGAGAAGGAAAGTGCCTATGTTGTTTAGCTACTTAGCAAACTGCTGATAGCCCAGTGTTTGTTTTTAGGAGAACTAATCACATTCTTTTGTTTTGTCCGTTCAAGTTGAGTGAGATACTTAAATTTGGCTTGGATAAACTGCTGTCCTCTGAGGAGAGCACCGTGGATGAAATCAACCTGGAGTCCATCCTGGGAGAAACCAAAGAAGGCCAGTGGGTCTCTGATGCTTTGCCTGCAGCAGGAGAAGGGAGCGAAGAGCAAGAGGAAGGAAGTGAGTTAGTGGTTAAGACAGAGCAAATGACACAAATACCCTAAGCTAGGATGTGGAAGGCTCTGGGTCCTGGTCTCAGGGACATCTTTTCCTTACCCAGTCCTATTGGCATCTGGAGCGTATTCTTTAAGACTTATTTGGTCTAAGAGCTCATACTAGGCTAACTGTAAATGTACCTGCTTTTTTCCTGGTAGCTGAACTTTGAACTCAATATATTAATGCTTATGGTCATAACAGTATCCAGGACTAAATTTGTCTTTCCTCCCCTGGTTGTATCTTCTCCTTTATTTATTAGTAAAGCCAGCTGTTCTTAACTATTTAACAGTTACTGCACGAACTCAGGCAGCACATTTGTTTATGTACCAACTATCTGAAGTGTCAGGCAGGTGTCATTTCAACCATTTGATTCTTGTTTATATGAGATACACTTGTACATATGTTTATTTGTTTTATATTAACTATTTCTTGCATACTTTTTTACTTAGAGCGTGATTTTCACTTTTGGTATTCTAGTAAAATCTAATATTAATAAGTTCTGGTTATTTTATTTCACTTAGTAGTTTCAGATAAGGGAAAAAATAGATGTATGTGGTCATATTTTTAAGTTATATTTGATTACCTTAAATATCAAAGTACACCCATTACTGCATTCATCTAGATCAATTTCAGCTTATTCATGTAACATTTACTAGAATAAGGTAAAATTGTAGTATTTTCAGAAAAATTATATCTCTCAGTCAATCCAACTGCCTAAATACATATATGTGTGTGTGTGTGTATGTATATATTTTTTTCTTTTCTTTTTTTTTTTTCCAGACAGTCCAACTGCCCAAAAAATTCCTCAGATAGAATTAAATTTGGAATGGCATCTTTGATGAATGGGCCTGGGTTCTGTCTCTGTAGTGGATGGTTTCTCCTGGCAGGATGTGGAGAAATAACCAGACCTGTGGGATCTAACCTCCTATTGCCTATACAGTGAAGACAGGGAGGAAGATAGAAAACAACACAGATGAATATGAAACACTAGTAATTAAAGCCTCAATCAAAATTAAATAAAAAATGAGGTTATTTTATCTTGACAGGGTTTTTAAAAACCGTTGATATCATAAGAAGTTCATGCAGTATGAAGCTACATATGTTGATCATATTTGACACTTCTCAGCTCTCTCTTTTTTTCCCCACTTGTTGATTGAGTGCCTCGTTGAAAGCCCCCTGCTGATTTAATTAGCAAATGCCAATTAGAATTACAGCTGGTTAGATTTAGGTACAAGTGTGAAGCAATTGATCTCTTGAGAATGAAAATGTTTTGCTTTCATGCTCTCTAGGGAAAACATACTTATACCTGATTGCATAATGCTGTGAAAATACATTCTTTGGTAATATGTGCTATAAAATACACTTCACTTCAGAATCACTGTCTTCCCTCTCTGTGGTTGCTGGTCTTGGCTGGTTATCATTTGATTCAAGATCTTGGCAGATCACCAGCCTCATTGAGTCTTTGTGTCCTTATCTGTAAAATGGTGTTCTTAGTGTCCACTTTACTCTCTTACACAGTTGTAGAAATCAAGCATGAGAATAGAAGTGAATGTGCTCTGATGGCAAAAAGAACTGTTCAGGATTACGTTACTGTCCTTACTGTTATCACCGTGCTCATTGTTTGCCATCCGTTCTTTCTACTTTTCTATAGATGATAATCTGTGTATTGAGAAGAATATGGCCTTCTTCATTTATTAGCATGAGAATTAAGGAGTCTCTTAACCCCTGTGTGAGCTTCAGTTTCTCTTTTCAAAAGTGGAGTTAGTTATGTCAGGACTAGGGTGAGGATCTTGGAGATCTTTTAAGACCTTTTAAGATCTATAGAGATTGTGAGTCCAAGAAATTATTTTTGTGATTCTTCATTTTCTCATAGACTTGCTACTTACTCCTTTCAGTATTATAGAAAAGGAGGGAAAGAGTTGAGTGTTAAAAGTGTTTGAAATTTTAAAATATTAGACTGTATTAGGTTTTATTTTTGAAAGTCAGTGAGATTGGCGCTGAGGAGCAGTTCTGGAATGAACAGCACTGTAATTTAAGACTCACCAGAGTGGAAGGACCCTGCAGAGATTCGTGGATCATCTGGGTGGAACAAAAAGGGTTTTATTTCGGTTTTTTTCAGCTCTGGAGATTAAACCGAGGGGACTTCTACCAATGAACTATATCTGAAGCCCTTTTTTATTTTGAGACTAGGTCTCACTCAGTTTCCAAGGCTGCCTTTGATCTTCCTGCCTCAGCCTCCTGAGTAGCTGGGATTATAGGCATGTGCCACTATGCCTGGCTTCAAATGGATTTTAAGCCATGCTTTGTCCTCTGAAAAGTGAATGTGTAAATTTTCATGCAGAAGCCGAGCCCATCAGTGTTAGTGTGATGGGAAATGCAATACCTTTGTCACAGGCTTGTCTTGGCCTATTTAGAATATGGTCTATTCTTTTATTTACCCTAATTATTACTTGGAACAGCATTAATCTAGCTTTTAGTGTGTGACAGTTCACCCTTTGTGTTTTACATTTTTAGAAAACCACATGTACTTATTTGAAGGTAAAGACTATTCTAAAGAGCCCACTAAGGAAGACAGAAGATTGTTTGAACAGCTAGTGAATCTGCAGAAAACCCTTTTGGAAAAAGCAAGTCAAGAGGGCCGGTCACTCCGAAATAAAGGCAGTGTGAGAACTGATAATTTATTTAAAAACATAAGTATTTCCAAACTGTCATCCTAAGAGAATAAAAAAGGATGCTGGAATAATTTTGTTCTTTTAGGATGATTTGTTAAGAAATAAATATGTGTTTGTTGAAATGTAATCAGTTAACTAAGCTGTAGTATAAAAATTATAAAAAACTGGCATAAGAAACATTAAAAAGGTGAGGATATTATATGATTAATGCTGATAAAAGTAGCCACCCCTAAAGGGATTACTGTATTACACCAAAATACTACCTTGTGCTGTTGATAGCCATGACCCTATGTCATTAAGAGAGGACGGCAGTCATAAACGATATATGTAATTTTTACAAGGTTTGGTGCTTAATGTGTGCCCACTAAATGTTAACTACCATTAAGATAATCATGATGTTGGAATGTTCTGTTTTAGAGGGGTTTATGAAATACATTTGTTGAAAGATTTGCATTAAAATTGGTTAAATTTAAAACGGCATCCTACAGGGTATATTTTCAATCAAGAAAAGAAAGCTAGTGTTCTGAGTTTCCTTATTCATAATGAAATGAATCAAAATGACTACCAGTCCCCATCAGTGCTCTTGCTGAGTGCAGAGCACAGTGGCTGCCATGCCAATGAGATGTGCAGTATGCACAGTAAATTACAGTATCTTGCCGCCAGTTCCTACCTAGTAGGTGACATGCAGGACAGCATGGAAACACTGTTTTTGTGAAACACTAAGCATGTTGCATCTGTATGGAATGTGCATTAGCAATGAACGAAACTCATGGAGAAGCAGGCAACTCTTGACCTTCCTGGCTGTAAGTCTTGTTCTGCCTGCAGGTTCTTATCCCAGGCCTTGGGGAAGGCTGTAGCAAAAGGAAGCGGATTCTGAGCCCTGGAGAACTGGAGGACAGACAAAAGAAAAGACAAGAAGCAGCAGCCAAAAGAAAGAGATTGATAGAGGAGAAGAAGAGAGAGAAGGAAGAGGCTGAGCATAAGAAAAAGTATGTCTGTTATTAACCAAGCAGAGGGTCACAGTTGCTGAAGATGTCACAACTATATAATGAAAGCACAGCTGCATATCAGTTTAAGAACAAAAAATCTTTCCTGAAGCTGGTAGTTTCTGGTAACAGAATACTTCTTAAAAGATTTTACTTTAACATTTAGTTTACTTTAGTGAAAAACCCTAAGTGCCTAAGGCAGAGAAGATTCATTCTATTGAAACAAGAAATTTTGAATATTTTATTATAGCTGTCTGACAAGGAGTCATTTATTTCAGCAGTCCCTTTGAGTCATACTCTTGAAAACAGGGACATTTGGTGGGTGCTCATTATTGAAGTATAGTCAGGAGGCAGTTAAGCTAATCAGGGAGACTTGTTTATTTACAAATTAAGCACAAAACTTGAATCAGGATGAGCGTCTAATTGCATTTCCACTTGGCAGTTATTTGTGAATAGCAGTGCAAAAATGTGTTCCAGGGGGAGGTTGATTTCTTTTTCTCTCCGGCCCATTGAAGGATGGCCTGGTGGGAGTCCAACAATTACCAGTCTTTCTGCCTGCCCTCCGAAGAGAGTGAGCCAGAGGACCTTGAGGCTGGGGAAGAAGAGAGTGCTGCTGAGCTGGATTATGAGGACCAAGATTCAACCTGCATCAAGTATGTCAGCGGTGATGTCACCCACCCACAGGCCGGGGAGGAGGATGCTTTCATCGTGCACTGCGTAGGTATGAGAAGTGATGTGAGACTGGGAGAGTGCCTCAGTCTTTATGGTGCTGAGAAATGTGGAGGGTGGGACAGAATTATGCCCTAAGTGTCACGGTCTGTTGCTGTGGTCCAAGGAGTATGAATTTTAGAAGGAGATAAGGATTTAATTTGTGGGTCTTTCATTTACTTGGTTGAGTTACCCATCCTCTCTGAGCTTCAGCTTCTTTATCCACGATGGGGTAATACCTGCCTCATCCTCTACACAAAGATTTTAAGGTGAAATGAGATCATGTTTAGAAGACAAATGCATCCTTTGAGAAAAAGCAAAACTCTCAAGTGTGTGCCCCTTTATGACATTTGCACTTTTTACTTCCTCTGCCTGGAATGTTCTTTCCCCAAGTAAGAAAATCAAGAATTCTTCTCTCAGTATCTTCTCAGAGAGATCTTCCCTCATTACTTCGTATAAAACGGTCTCCATCCTCACCTGTTATTCTCTGTCCTTTCTACCCTATTTTCCTTTGTCATGTATATCACCACCTGACATATTAACATACTTATTTGTCATCTGGACTGTCTCGTTCATTAGAAAATAAGTTGCATGGAACCTGTTATTTGTTGGCTCATCCCCTGTTTTAGTCCATTGCTCTAAACAGTGTTTAGAACAATGCTTGACATCTGATACCTATGAACAAATACCTGAAGTGTGAATGAGTATAAACTCATCTATGTTAGCAGATACTAGCCAGCTATGTTAGTACCAGCATGAATAAGGCATTTAACTTTTCCTTTTCCTCACCTGTAAAATGGGAGTTGGATGCTAAGGAGTCGCTGGAGCTCTTTCACTGTAGGTCCCATCTATTCTCCATTCTTCCTCAGTCATTTCCCTAGAGTTACAAACATACCAGAGTCTAGATGCTTTCCTATTACAGTGATCTGTTATCTCCCAGAAAACCTAAACATTTAGGCCGTCCAACTAGAATATTGGAAAAAAAATTTTTTCCCTTCGAAAAGTTACTCCTCTACAAGCCTATTCTGTATGTTTGTGTTTTTCTACTTGTGGGCTGGAATTTGCTTTCTATGGATGAGAATTTTCTTTCTTCTGTCAGATGATTCTGGTCGCTGGGGCAGAGGTGGTTTATTCACAGCTCTGGAAACACGATCAGCTGAACCAAGAAAAATATATGAGCTGGCTGGAAAAATGAAAGGTAAGAAGCAAAGGAGAAGGAAGGATCAGGGATGGAGTAAGACAGGAAAGGACACTTAAAATGATATCATGTGCATTATAAAACACTGGGTAAGGAGTCAGAAGAGCTGATTAGAGTCTGAATTCTGTCATTCGTGAACTCGTTGCGTGACTTTGAGCGAGCAGTACCTTACCATTTCTGCCCTGTCTTCTCAACTGTAATGTGTAAATAATACTTGTCCGCCTGTTTCACAGGACGTAGGATAATGAATGGGTAAGTATTGTGAAAAATGTCAATCACTGCAAATATCTTAAAATGTTAAATAAAGATTATTTCATTATCCATCTCATTGCATCTTCTTAAGGGATTATCTCTTTAAAAAGTCAGAATCCTTGGGAGAGAAATTTGATACACTATTAGTAGCTCCAATTAGGGGCTGAACAGAGGAAGACACATTATAAGGCTCATGCAGCCTGGGGTAGAATGCTTCCTGGACACAGATGTAAAGTTGTTTGGGGCTAGGGCAACTTTGAAGGCTGAACAGTATAGTATTGTCCTTTGGCACAGAGAAGGGGAAAGGGCATTTCCTGTTACATGCAGAAATCACAACCTGGCAAGAGGAGTAAAATTTATCATTGTGGTTATTTCCTGGAGGAGTTGAGCATTTAAAAGACCTTGTCCAATAGAGAAAGGTCCTCCAGATTTCTTAGGGATTTGTTTTTCCTAATTCTTCTGCCCAGTTCTCTAAAGTGGAAAGAGATACAAGGACACAGAGAGGAAACTTTTTCCAGTAAAATAGATTTCTGAAAGAAAGGCTAATGCATGTTGAAATAGTCAACCCAGATCTAGATAATGACTTGATAGCTGGAGAAATGGAGAACCTAGGAAAGGTCAGAGTCAGATATACAGACTGAGGAGTCTTTTTGGAGTTCTTATTTAAAGCTATGAGGGAGAAAGAAAAGTAAAAATAAATAATGAGGGAGAAATGAGAGGACACAGAACAGAACATGGAAACATCTCTGTCTCAGAGTTGATGTAAGAAGAGGAGAGAGATAGGAGTATCAGGAAAATAAGAAAACCTTGAGGAATTAGTTCTTGGAAGTAAAGATTGAGTAGCCCTTATCCAAAATGTCTGGGACCAAAAGTAGTATTTCAGATAATCAAGTGATTTTATTCTTGAATATTTGCATATATAAACATTTTAGGGATAGGATCCAAGTCTAAACACAAAATTTATATAGACCATACAAACATAGCATAAATTATTATTATATTATATTATTATATTATATTATATTATACAGTATTTTTAGTGCACCTGTTTTGATGGCACCCCATGCCTCAGGTCAGGTGTAGAATTTTCCACTTGTAGCATCAGGTCACGGTTCAAAACTTTAGAGTTCAGGAGCATTTTGGATGTCAAAATACTGGATTGGGAATACTCAGCCTCTACAAGGGAAGAGAAGATACCAAGAAGGCAAAATGGTTGGCAGTGTCAGACTGATATCGTCCCCACTAAAGTGACGGTGAGAATTGGGAAAAGGCCGCAGGATTTGACCCTAGTTTAGTCACGTGACCTTGGAGTACTTTGAGAGTACTGGTTGCACAGACTTAAGGCGTCAGTGGTCAGTAGGAAATGGAGTTGGAAGTGTGGACTCTTTATGAAGAAAGATTGAAATAGGGTACAGCAGAGCAGATAGAATTGGGCTGGAACTTGTCAGGGAAGTCTTCATGGTAGTGGAGAGAGTTATCTTGGGTCTGGAAAGATGGGCTGAATTTGAGTAAGTACAGAGAAATGGCAAGAGGATTCCTGATAGCTGCGTTCTTTTGGTATCCCCGTACCATCTCCTGTTCCCAGTATATGGGTATTGAAGACCCAGTTCATGTACATGAGTCAGGCAGGCTGGGGTACAGGGTTTGGGCCAAGAAAAGACGAGAGTTGGATTTTAAAGGGAGGCTTGGCTGCATCATAGAAGCCCACACATCTTGTTCAGAGAGCCCATTTTAAGCAGGACCATAGCCAGTGGATAATGACTAGTTATGTGGGAAATATGATCAGAAGAATGGCATAACAGGGTCAGTCTTTTCTGACGACTTAAGAGATGGGCGTGTGCAAGATACCTATCATTTCTATTTGAGCAAAAAATTCAAAATAAGTTATGTAAAGCCCAGAACTAAATTCGCACATTTGTCTAGAGCATCCGTTCAATTTGATTTGGATAGGATAGGATAGTGAGTTAGTGACCTTTCCATCTTAGGACAAAATACAAGACATCTGCAGCTTGAAGGAAAGATTTAGTTTGGCTCACTGTTCCTGAAGTTTCCCTCCATAATTGGCTGGTTCCAAGGCAGAACATCATGGCAGAAGGGTTTGGAGGAGGAAGCTGCTCATTCTTGGCGGCCAGAAAGCAGGGAGAGCAAAAAAAACCAGAGGAAAGGTACACCCTTCAAAGGCACACCCCTGAGACCCACCTCCTCAGCGAGGGCCCACCTTCTAAGAGGACGTTCAGCTATGAACTCATCAATGAATTCTTTTTCCCATTAGTACAGATTGAACTCAGAGTATGTGTATTGAGCTACATTCCTAGTGTTTTTATTTTTTGAGGTAGGGTCTTGCTAAGTTACCCAGGTGGGACTTGAACTTGCTATCCTTCTACCTAAGTCTCCCAAGGTGCTGGGATTATATTATCAATGAATTAATCCACTGATGAGTTTAACATTCCCATGTCCCAGTTACCTTCTACAACCTCATCTCTGAACACAAGGCTTTTGGGGGCCATTGTAAATCTAAACCATAGCAGAGAGAAAAATACACAAATAGAAATAGATACAGTAGAATGCTATATTTGAATGACTCAAGACAAGCAAGATTTCCAAAGGAATTTTAAGCTCATAGTACTCCCTTTTTGTCCCCTAAATACTTCCAGCTTTTGCATTCACTTTCCAAAGCCTCCAGGAGCACTTGAATTAGGGGAACATAAAAATTCAAGAGGGAAACAAGTGAATACCTAAGGTGATGACTGAGGTCAGGAGAGCTGGAAAAGTATCAAAGATTCTGAAGGGACCTGGAGGTCAAAACCTAATTGGAGTAGGAAAAGGAAGGCATAAAGAGCATTCACAGTAATCCTCTTTCAGAAGTCCTTAGTGAAGTTAATATTTTCTTTTTTTTTTTATCTTAGACTTGAATTTGGGAGCTGTCCTTTTATTCCCTATTGATGATAAAGAGTCAAGGAACAAAGGGCAAGATTTGGTAAGTAAAAACAAAACAAGAAAACTTTTTTTACTGGCATTTAAGTTCGGTTCCTATCAATGTCCCTTGAAACCCCTCCCTTCCTCACTGGTGTCCTTAGTATTGTGGTAGTTTACTAGGGCTGCCATATCAGAGAACCCCTGACTGGGAAGCTTAAATTATGGAAAGATATTTTTGATACCATTCTGGAGGCTGCAAAGTTTGAGGTGAGAGTGCCAGGAAGTTTAGTTTCTTGTGAAGCCTCTCTTGCTGGCTTGCAGATCTGCACACTGTCTTTCCTTTGTACAGATCTGTGGTGTCATTCTGTGTCTAAAGTTCCTCTCAAAAGATATGAATCAGATTATATTCAGTCTTACTGTAGCAGCCTCATTTTAATTGAGTAATCTCTATAAAGACCTTTTGAAAATGTAGTCACATTCTGGGATACTAGGAATTAGAACTACAGGATGTGAATATGAGGGTGACATAATTCATCCCGTTATCAAGTGGGGCCCCATACTCCATTTCACTCCCCTGTGGAACACTGTCCTCTACTTACTCCTTCCATCTCCTGTCCTAGGCAACAAGCCCCTCCAGGTACAGTGACTCTTATTCTACCTTGATCCTTAGTGTCCCATGTAGTACTGACTCAGAGATGCTCAACACTAAGTCAGTAAGATGCTCAGTGAACACAGAGTTCGTAAGAAAGCATGACTGGAAACTCTGGGCAGTTCATCATTTATTACATGAAAATTTCTGTGAAAGATTATGTTTCTAGCCAACCATATATAGAGGAGTAGAACCAACCCACACTTCCTCTGCTTATATCAAACTCGTCCTGTTTCATCTTAAGTATCTTTCTTGTTTGTCATTTAGTGTCCTGGGAGTTTTCTTTCTAAAGCCTGAATTCACATTTGAATTTTGGGCCACATCTTACTGATGTAGAAAAGAAGAAATTTAGGCCAAAAGAGGTTCATTTTCTTGAGGCTGGTGATCTGTGTGACTTATAACAAAGCAGTTCCTGTTTGGTCGTTCATTCAATAATTTCTAAAATGCTGAAAAAAAACAGAAACACCAGTATCTGTGCAAAAGAATCTCAGAGCTGAGTGATTCAAGAAAGCTCTTTAAAGACTGTAGAACATCATGTCTAGGATGTGACTACAGTTATGTTGGTCCCAGAGGTGCCTTTGTGTCTCTCCAGCTCCACCTGGTTAGGATAGCTGATGTGGGAGATACGGTACTTTGTCCTCACAGGGACTGTTTGTACAGAGATGGAATGACTGTATGTCCTGGAGCTGACTCAAGCATCAGTTAGAGGGCTGGAATACAAGAAACTCTAGAGTCTGTTCCTAAGATTCTGAAAAATTTTTTTCTTTACCCTTGAGAGCATTTAGAAAGTACAGGCCTTGGACTCTAATTTTAATATATGTGTCTCTTTTCTTTCTCATTTTGAGACAAGATGTCACTAAATTACCCAGGCTGAACTTGAATTTGCCATCCAGATTTGTCCTCCTTCAGTACTGGGATTACGGGCATATACCACCATGCCTAGCTGATTTTAACAAATATATCTTAAAAGAGGAAAAACATAAAATAGACCACTTAAGATAGGGCACCAAGTCATACATTTAGTGGGACATTGTTGTTCATGCAGAACATCCAAAGGTGGAGCCAAAGCCTGAATGGCGCACAAACAGCTATGTTCCCTCCAAGGGTGCAGGTCACTTAGTGGACAATGTAGACATCTTGTGTCATGTCATTTTTTTAATGGTTGTTCTTCCTAGTTGGCTTTGATTGTGGCTCAGCACCGTGATCGTGCTAATGTCCTGTCTGGCATTAAGATGGCAGCCCTAGAAGAGGGCCTAAAGAAGATATTTGTAGCAGCAAAGAAAAAAACAGGTAAGTTCTTCTATTTGTGCATAGGAGGAGCCAAATTTCTGCTTCTAGACATGGCATATGACTTCTGAAGAGAGGTAAAAAATGCCAAGACCCTGCTCAATTTGTATGGCAAAGGTAAACACCAGAATTAATGACCACATCATACTGTATTTGTATAGCCTTTTTTCCTTTTTAGGTCACTTTTGTGTCCATTACTTCTGTGGACCATGTCCATCCACTGGACATTTTTATCATAATTTTATAGATGAGGATGTAAAGGACTAGAGATGCAGCAACTTGGTCACGTATGATTGAGAAGTGCTGTTTATTGTATCTCCTGTTAGAGAGTCACAGTCCACCATAGCAGATAGTTCATTGCCAAAACACTTAGTTTTGTTTCCAAACCTAGTATGTTGTAGTGTTTGTTAAATTGCTTGGCTTGTTTGAGAATCTTCGCTTATTTTAGTTATGACTTCACCACCGATCATTATTCTATTTCCATTGTACGTTCTTATTTCCAGGGCTGTGGGTCTTTATGTTCAACAAAATAACTTCTCCCTATTCTAACCTCTTCCCAGGATATTTTGACATTATAATTATATAATCTCAACAGAATAGTCAATAGTTATTTTCTTCTGTATATATTTTATATCCAGTAGTCAATTTAAGATTAGTGAAGACATCATGATCTGTTGTTTTGTTTTTAATAGCAAGTGTTCATCTTCCACGTATTGGGCATGCCACAAAGGGTTTTAACTGGTACGGTACTGAGCGCCTTATTCGGAAGCATTTGGCTGCAAGAGGCATCCCAACTTACATGTATCCTTTTGTAGTCTTAATATTTTGTTTTTAAAACTGAAGAAGGAAAACATGTTATATTTTCTGGTGTCACTGGTTAATCCACAGCCATATTCTTTCCTTTACATTCTTTAGTCTGCCCTTCAATGAGACAGAAATTAAGAAGCATTTTGTAACTTGTGTATATCCATTGTGTACACCCAAGGAGATAAATTCAAGTACTTCTGGATGCCAAGAGAAAGGTTAAGAGATATGAAGTGAATTTGTTAAATAATTGCCATTTGGTAACATAGCTTTTTCTCATTATTTTTCTAAGGGCCCCTCAGATCTGTGGACCAGTGTGTGATTCTATGAACTTTACTATGTTCGCTAAAATAAACAAGTGAACTATTTCATTTTGGAACCTTTTGATATATTCTTTGAGGCAGTGTGAAATTCATTCTGACCATTGTCATAATCTAGCTACGCTAATATGTACTTCTCATGCCCTCCTTGCCGTGTGTTAGCATTGTTAGAACTATTATACTGCATCCAAATTCACTAGAAGAAGCTGAGTTAACCCCTAACTGTAAGACTCATACAAAAAGCCATCTTTTTACATAGATCCCTACTGAAATTAGTTCACTCGGTGATAGTTTTCTACTTAAATCACTATTTTTAAAATTTAGAGAAGTCATGTTCTATGTACTTGCAGAATTCAAATAGAATCAAGAGTTTCAGTACAATAGACTATAGTAGCAGTGATTAATCCTAACAACGTTGGAAATATGATATGGAGAAAAGTAATTAAGGCATAGCCCTTTTAACATGGCTATTTCAATATTTATTAAACTAGGGAACTAGTGGTTTGGGTAAAGTTGAGTTTAAAGTTGAAATATGTTTTCCTTGACCATCCTTACCAGATATTACTTCCCTAGAAGCAAGGCTTCTATTCGTCAGTCACAGTCCTCATCTTCCTCCTCAACACAGCTGATGCCTTAACAGTTGGCCCAATACCAGATCTAGTCTTTAGCAACCAACTACTAAGCTATTTGCTCAGAGTAACTGTCAGAGTACTTGAAAAATGTATTAGGATCTGGTGGATCTCTGAGATGGTCTGTTTTCTGAATTTGAGCTTTAATGTTCTGGGTGTGTTACTCTGATCTGGTACCTGTAATACAGGGATTCATTACTTATTTGGGAAAGCCTCTGGTCTTTAGTTTGCATAAATATCTGCATAAAAATAAATTTTATCTCTCTAATAATTTCATTGCCATTGGACTTCTTCCTCTATCTGTTTTTCTTCCTTACCACCAGACTTTCTTTCCAGAGGAAAGGCTGTCTAGATTAAAGAGATAGGAGAGGTAATAGAACAGGGTGGCTCTGGAAAAAGGAAGCACCTTCAAAAGACAGGACTCAGGGATAGAGGCTGCAAAAGTAAGATTTTTGATCCAGTCAAGTGGAGCTCCTGACCTTCTTTTTGCATTGTCCAGCACCAGCATCCAGAGGAAAACCCATTTGATTAGAGGCCTGTCCAGTGTGACTTCAGAAAAATCAGACTACTACTTTCTCTGACATCTTAAATCCAGTTAAGCTTAAATACAAAGAGAGAATTGTGGAAATAGCATCAAGTGTGCACAGAATGACTAGTAGTATTGGGAAAGGCCAAGGACCAAGAATCACTAGAAGAGGAGTTGTGGAGGGAAGACTGTGTAAGCTGTGGCTTTTCACATTTCTGTGTGTGAAATCTCACTCTTGGACAACTAACCCCAACCAGCCTAATCTCTTCTGCTTTGCAGCCCTCAACACTACAAAGGCTGTAGAGACTGGAACCTTGACTACCAAAGAGCACAGACCTGAGGAAGGTAGTGCCATTAGCACCTGAGTTTTATAGTTCTATTTGGCTCCCTGCCCATACCATTTCTCTTCAGAAGTTTAGCATCTGTGCTGAAGACCTATTAGATTCCAAATTCATGATTCCTTTTTTTTTCTTCGTCCTAAAACTTCTTCCAGTAATTCTAACTACTTCCTGTCCACTATTAACATATTCCACCAGCCTTTAACTTATTCATTAGGTTTTTAGCTGATGTAAGATGTTTATACTTATTTATGGAGTACAGTGTTAATCATTCAATACATGTGTACAGTGTATAATGACCAAGTCAGAATGATTATCATTTCTGTCTCCTCAGATATCATTTTTTTGTGTTGGGAACTTTCATACTTCTCCCCAGTTATTTTGAAATGTATAATTAATTATTATGAGGAAAAGCTACCTATGGTTGCTCTACTGTGCTATACAACATTTGAATTACTTCCACTACCCCATGGTATTTTGGTGCTCATTTTTTATCCTTTCTAAAGCCTCACACTCTGCTCCCCTTGCTGACCTCTGTTCTACTGTTTTTATGTGATCATCTTTAGCTTCTACAAATGAGAACCATATGATTTTTTTTTTCTGTACCTGGATTATCTCACTGAATATGCTATCACCATTTCAATCTTTTTTATATACAGGATTTCATTTATTTTATGGCTTAATAATTTTCCACTGTGTTTATATACAGTAATACCTCGGTTAATGAACATTTCTGTTTACAGACAGTTTGGTTTGCAAACAAAAGCATTTGCTTTTGTTCCAAAGTTCTGCATTGGGTGGCAAACATGACCATGGTCATCTTCCCCCATACCAACACAAATACAACCATCTTCTCCAAAATCATAAAACAAATTAAGTTCATACACCAAGGTACCACTGTACCATATTTTTCTTTATATATTCATCCACTGATGGGCATCTAGTTTGATCCCTATCTTGGTGATTGTGAATAGTGCTGCAGTGAACATGGGTATGTAGTTATTAATCTTGTATCTGAAGTCTTTCTTCAAATTAGAACTGAATTGGAACTCCAAAAGAAAGAGAATATAATGAAATCTAGCCTACTGCACAGTAAGTTGATGTTCCTTTCAGATACAAAGTACAAATAAGTGAGATATTAACAAATATAAGGAAGACTTGATTGGGCACAGTGCAAGAGCTGCAGACCATTCTGGAAAAACTGTACCAATATCTGATAGCAGAGTACATAGCCCTAGGAGGGGATGTTTCTGAACACCTGAGCAATGCTTCACAAGGAACTTACTCCTAAAGGAGCACAGGCAACATTTTGAGGGACGTAGTTTTGTGAGAGGGAGTGGCTGATTTTTACCCTGAACTATCTACCATGCTGTACCCATGTGGGTTTTTATATGGATGGAGCCTGGATTGGTCAGGTTCTTCAGAGAAACTGAACTAATAGGATATTTAAAAGGAGATTTATTAGATTAATTCACATGATGATAGTGGCTGATAAGTTCCCAGTGACTGACTGCAAATTCCATAGAGCCACAGGAATCAAGTAGCAGCTCAGTGCAAGAAGCCAGAAGCCAGAGAGTGAGAGAGTGATGACGAAGCCTCTATCTTGAGCGTGAATGCCCAACAGGACCTCTGGTATTAGCCTAAGTCCAAAGACATAAAAATCTGGAATCACATGTGCAAGGGCAGCAGCAAAAAATGCCCTTCCTCTGAAGAGTTAGGGCAAGAGAAAAACAAATTTTCCCCTTCTACTTTTAGGTTAATCCAGATTCCCAACATATTGGCTGCCCATGTTCAGGATGAGTCTTCCCATATCAATCTTCCATAGAAATAGCTTCATATACACCCAGAAATGTGCTTTATAAATTCTCTAGGAATCCCACCACCTAGTCGAGTTGATACCCATAATTAACTTTCAGTGGGTCCTGGACCTGTCTTCTGGTAAGCTGGGCCAGACATCACAGAAGGAGATCAGAAATCCCATGGAGCACATTATCCCTTCAATGTGGCACCACCTCTCAGAGGTAACCTGGCTTGCCTGTCTCCCTCTTAACTCAGAATAGTCAAAAACATTGCCCTGCTACATCTCTGGAAACCTTTCCTATCTTATAATCCTGTTACTCTTCCCACCAAGAAGGTACTTTCTGGGAAGGGAGAATGAGGAAAAGCTACCTATGGTATTTATCCCAAGGATTTGTTCTATTTCTTTCATGTATTTTTGGTGCCATATAGTCCTCCCCTCTGACGCTGGAGTTAAGAGGACATTATAGTATTTTATCTGAGAAATTATTATGGTGTTTGTAGTCTAAACACCTATAAAAACCTTGCTTATTGAGACAGTGGGGAAGCTAAGTCTATTAAATGTTTTCCAGATAATCTCATATTTTCTTGACTTTCAATCTTGTAACAAGTCTACAGCTTCTTTTATTTTTTGCCTCATGACTCTCAACCACATTCTATTAATTAATCCCCTTCAAAAATAACTTGAGAGCCAGGTGTGGTGGCACATGCCTGTATAAACTCTTACATTACCTCCCACCATAATCTGCCTTTCGACATATTTCCCAGAGACACCTGTAGTTTTTCATTTTTACTTTGCGTGTGTTGGCTGGTACCTCTCCTTGGTCTGCCTTACTTCTTCCACACTCTTCACCCTCTGTTCTTCCATATCAAATCAAGTCTTTAAAAATGCATGAGAGGGCATTATTACATTTCCTTTATAATGTCTTTGTACTACAGGTGACAACTGGATATATAGCACTTACTTTGTTGGTATTCCTAGTATAAGCTCATTGGGGACTGGACTCAAAATGGCTGAATAGATGAGGTTGAACCTCCTTGGGTCGAGGGACCTAGGCCCGTGGTAAGAGGCGACACGGTGCAAAGAAGACACCGGAGACCAGGCTGATGGTGCAGGTCTGGTTTATTACAGAAGTACCAGGCATTTTATTGAACAGGCTAGAGGCGTGGCAATGGAGGCGGGGCTAGGGGTGGTACTTTTGGCCGGGGGCTGTGCGGAAGTAAGAGGTCAGAGCGGGACAGCCTAGGCAGGGCGACTCACTCGGTGTGCCGAGGACATGACGAGTCCAAGTGTGCTCAGACCCGCTCCTCTGCCATGGCTGTCAATCAGACCTCTGGACCTCTCTTTCCCACAAATTCCCCCTCTTTTTTTATAAAAGCCAATTGAATTGAGGCCATCATAGCCTGTTTAGAGGTTATCATTTGTAACCTGGTACATATCATACGAAGCGCGATTAACGCCAGAAGTCCTAGAAGTCCCAAGAATCCAAGGATAAGTAAATTGGCTGGTGAGAATAGGCGCCGTAGGTTATGTAGGAGATCGGAGAGGACATTGTCCGTTAGAATAGGAACTTGGATAGAGTCAATAGTTTGTATTTGTTCAGTCAGTTGAAGGGAGAGGTTGAAGTAAGTGCTGTTGTAAGGACCAAAGATCCACCACGGAGCAAGAGACGAGCAGAAGAGAGGTTGGCTGGTTTTGGTGTGACGCAAAGTAGGGTCGATGAGAAGCGTTGGTCACAGGCAGTGGTAGCAACGCACCAGAGGTCTTGAATCTCATTGTCCATGAGGTCAAGTTGTTGTTGGAGATTAAGCAGAGCCATATGGGTATATGCATTAAGCTGCTGTTGTACTCGGAAAGTTTCAGCGACAGTATGGGAAAGGTTGTTAAATCCTTGAGCGGTCACGGTGGATGGGTGAGCGCGACGGCTGCTGTGGCTCCGGCTGCTGCAGGTCATGTCGGTCCGCCCCCTGGACGTCTGTTGTCGAGGGTCGGCGGCTATGGCTGGTTGGACTCTCGGCTGTCGTTGAGGGTCAGTTGTTGCATCTCTGATATCAGCGGCTGTGGCTGGTCGGACATCTCGGGCAGGAACCCACACTGGATGGGGTGCTGTCTCTGGAAAGACACAAGCGAAACCTCGGCCTTGGGTTAGGAGTGGGGCTGGGGGCTGCCATGATTGTGTCATGGGATCCTTCCAGCGCACAAGAGGGAGTGGTGTCGGAGGGGCCAGTAATGGGCCCCAATGTTTATGGACTGGGGAAAGACCTTTTTCATTGAAAGTTAAAAGATTTACGGTTATGAGAGCTTTTGTTAGCAGTTCATCCGGCGTGCTCCGGGGGTGTAATTCCCCCTCTTTTTAAATAAAGTTTTGAGTGTTTGGTGAGTTCTTTCTATGATAGCTTGTCCTTGAGGATTGTAGGGAATGCAATGATGTAAGGTTATGTCGTATTTGGCACATGTGTTTTTAAAAGTTTGACTGGTATAACATGGTCCGTTATCTGTTTTTAGGTCCCAAGGGACCCCTAGCATGAGAATGGCCTTTTCTAGAGCACGTGAGGCATGTTGTGCCGTTTCTCTCGTCATGGCTGTAGCCATGGTAGCTCCAGAGAAAG